TACAAGACAGCCAAAAAGTATTAAATATGTTTACCAATTTTTTTCATAAACAATTTAGTGAATCACATGATTATAACCATACACGTGAATAATAACAGATTGTTTTTCGTATTCTTCTTACACTTTCAATTAAAACAGAAGCATTTGCTTTTACTTAGTAATATAATTTCTTTTAAAAGTTTATCGCTCGATCACTATTCATACATGTAAAATATTTGATGAATAAATACTGCATACCAGAAACTTTATGTGATCTAGTAAAATTATTGAAATCGAATGATAGATACTTATATAAGAATTTGTAAAAAAACGAGTATAATGGTTGAAATTTTTAAACTTTTTTTTCAATCAGTTTGTTGATCTCACGCTTTTTTGTTAGATTAAAGTGGCTAACTTAGGCTACAATTGAAAAAACATAAAATAATTACGTTCATATAATCGTTTATTCCAAGTCACTTAAAGCACCTCGAAGAATATCGAACAGAAAGGTTGTAATGGTAGTTTTCGCCCCTGGTGGTGTACGTCGCCAGAGCAAGCACCAGGCTCTAGGGACTCCTTGTGCTATTGCCCGGGTTTGATGTACACCAGGTTCGAACCATATTTTTCCTACCGAGGTCACACTTGACCCAAAAATACGCCCAAGGTAGGAAAATGACTACTGTTTGATATTTCTTTTTAAATAAATAATTTTTACTTTTTCCATAATTAGGGCTAAGTTTATTTAAAAAGTTTTTCTTACCATGGGAACAAAGTGCAACTGCTGCTTTGAGCCCTCGGTCAGAAAAATAATATCCGTGACTCGGACAAACATACAGCAACTGTGCCCTTCGGACACCCATGTTACTTTGTACCCTACAACTGTAACGTAATATACCATTAAATCCATGGGTCTTTGTTGATTGGTGCTTTCCATTATTTGTGTGAATTAGAAATTGTCGTGTTCTAAGGGAGGGATATTAGTAAATAACTGCTAGTATATAACAGTGCTTTGAGATATTTAGGAGAAACAGCTATATTTGTTTGATTTTTAAAATACTGTAGGCTTATGTGTCTTAACCAACGTTTTTGTCTTGAATTTATGAAATATCTCTACAATCTAGACCTTGAATGCTACGAATTAAAACCCAGGAATTTTTTATTTTAACTGGTACACTATGTTAACTTCACATTACGTACATTAATGTCACGTTACATCTTAAGGATATTTAAATATGACAGGGTATACATTGTATTATTGTTGACTTGAAATTTTTTCTTTCTTTTTTTTCCTTACTTTCGAGAAGGACTAAGGTCACACAGTTGATAAACCAAAACCGTGGACAGGCACTCAGTAGTTAATGTGCAACCAGCAATTGATAGCACGTATAAACTAAAAAGAAAAGACATGCAACTCAGGCGATAACAGCACAGAAATACCTATGTTACAGCTAGACTTTTCCAAAAATATTTATGTACACATATCCGTATTTTGTAATGACATACACATACACACACATTTTTCCAAACTATTATAGTTACAAACGCTTTTGTTTTATCAGAAACTGGTAAGCACTGTTATCGCGTGCACACAACTGTAACAATATTATGAAATCTGTGTGAGCCCATCTTAAGAAATCAAGTCACAGTACATACGTGCCATTGTCATATCAAATATTCAGAATAAGCCGTCACTATCCAAGTTTTCGCCCGATTACCCATAATTTTGGCCAATTTTTCTCATTTCGATTAAAAATAGCTCGATATGCAAACTTAGCAAAAATAAATTATTGTAAAGAAGAACAGAATGAGATAAGCAAATTGATGCTTTCTTTTCTGCCTCTGAAGTGTGGAGCCAAGCACAGGGAAACTATGCATTCCCGCGTTGGCTTAGTAAAAAGCTATTGGGAGCTGCAAATGATGTATAGTGGTTTATCATTCGACCTTTAGTCATTGACAAGATTCCACTACCAAACTTCCAGCGTCATTATAGGTAACTACCTTTGACACTTAATGAAACACTAATTTACCACCGTATAACCAGACTAGAAACAGGACTATCCAGGATAGCTCACTTGGATTCTCAACAAGACATTCCGTCGAAATCTATGCTTTACAGTAACGCTCTGTCGGAACACTACGGTTCTCGACGACCAAGTCCCACTAGAAGGTCATGCTAGACTTGGACGATTCTGGAACTATTTCATCGTGTTTGCAACAAGATCTTCCGTCGGAACACTACGCTCATTAATGATAGGAATTCACTGGCCATTACTTACCGGACACCACACGCATTAATATCCCACATAATAGGATTCACGACGAAGGCGTTCCAGTTCTAAGTGGATACACTTTTTTCCGGGGTATAGTTAAACTACGTACACTTTTCTATCCAAGCAGATGAACCGTGTCCATTCAGATACGCTTGTTTACGTCTATCACAGCCTAGTGCAGTGGCACTGATTTCAACAAATAAGACTGGTAAGGATAATATATTATGGTCAAGTGATTTGTAAAAATCATTTAAGCTAAAATCTTCTCGTATGATGAAACCTAAATGTATGACCCAACAGGGGACATTACAGGAGCAATTAATCACCTCAAGAAGTTGTACTTCTTAGAGAAATTAAGTTAAAAAAATAGTGTATAGAGAGGGAAGGATAAAAATTGAGATCCTTAATCAAGTCAAAACGTCTGAACCAGATAAACGTTAACTCGAGCTTGTGATTCCTGAATTCAAAATTAATTTGAATGTTCTAAAAAATGATTCTAGAGCACATAAGAATATATAGCAGTAAGTGTCCAAGTACTAAGTGTATTTGGGTTAAAAATGTTACAAAAAGAAGTGGCATTAATGCCACAGTTTTTTCAGGCTACTCCACAAAGTATGACACTACATCAGTAGCGTTAAAAAAAGATTCGATTTATCCGTCATTTGGAGGACTATGAATTTGACAATGGCTCAACGATTTTTGCCAAATTTGATGATAACCCAATTGTAGTAGGCAATAAAATTTTTGCACTATCATTACTGATTTTTTAGTTGTGCAAAATTTTTGCAATGTGAGTGCTAATCTTCTAGGTATGTCTTCGAATGAAGCGAATAAAATTTAATTAATCGACTAAACAAACTTAGTTGTAAGTGCGCTTGTCATGATATTCGATCGCAATTATATTAAAGAGATTATTTCATTGATCAATTTTTCGAAATGTTTGCAAATTTCTTTTTAAAAGTACGAGTTGAAGTCTGTAATTCTTATGACATAAAATATCACATGCAAGAAACCGATTTTATTTGTCCTGCTTAGAACTTTTGAACTATTACATTATATTTTGGTAGTAAGTAGTTGAATTGGTTATTATTACAAAAGAAAAGACGCATTTTTGGCCTTCCTACAATGTAACATTTTTACTCATCCTACATGACAACAAGAGGTTTATGAAGGCTAAAAGATAGTATATACACTACATTAAAAATGATGAATGCTTAGATCACATGTTTCATGCTCTGGGCTTTAGCTAAGGAGTCAATGGACATACTATCTAAAAACATTTACCAGACGAAAGACTACAGCTAATCAGAGCCATCAAATTCTTTTTGTATACTGGTACATATTATTGAAAAGTGTAATTTTTTTCTCACTGCTGCCGTCTGATCTGAGCTTTCTAAGTCAACATCCTAATTTTAACATAATGTACTATTTCAAGTCAGCTGGGTAAAAGAAACTTATGTGTTTCAAAAAACTCAACTTCGTTATAACTTTCACGAAAGTTTAGCTAAACGTTAAAATTTTTTTGTGGGTACATACTCCCTTGAAGACGAGGTCTGCGATCGCAAGTTTATTTTATCCAAAATTTTTTTACACAGAAACAATAAGTTTCAAGGGTACACTTGTACTTTTTACTCTGGCAAAACTATAAGGGACTCCTGAGTATCAGTCGTGTCTAAAAAGGAGATAAATCATACTCATTTATGTAAGTGCTGCTATATGTTATAAATAGTACAGCACTCTTACATCAGTGGTTAACTGAGGCGATTCAGTACTTGGTTAGGTTGACGGTGTTGCTGTTTCATTAACTAACAAAAAATTGTTCTCAATGTCAAACCATAAAAAATCAGTAAACTACGCAATATATAAATAGATATGGTAAGAGAAAAGTGGTGGTGAGTTTAAATTTAAAATAAAATTGATACAAGAGAGTTAAATCCTACATGAAAATTGTTATTAAAAAATGTTAAAAATTGTTATGCCTATTATTTTTTCTATTTTTTTTTTTTTTTTTTTTTTTTTTTTTTTTTTTTTTTTTTTTTTTT